ATTTTTTTAAAGATTTTATGTATGTATGTATGTATGTATTTATTGCGAGTAGGCGGGAGGAGGGGCAGAGGGAGAGAGAAAATCTCAAGCCGACTCCACACAGACCACAGAGCCCAACGTGGAGCTCGATCTCACAACCCTGAGATCATGACCTGAGCCAAAATCAAGAGTTGGATGCTTAATTGACTGAGCCACCCAAACGTCCCTAAAGCCTGCTTAAGAGCCCAGACCAATGGATTTAGTTCCTTTTATGGATTTTTTTTTAATGTTGTATTTCCAATATGCTTGATGGCACGAAGGACAAAATTACATAGAAAAGTATGGATATGGGACGCCTGGGTGGCTCAGTCGGTGGGGCGTCTGCCTTCTGCTCAGGTCATGATCCCAGGGTCCTGGGATCAAGTCCCGCATCGGGCTCCCTGCTCGGTGGGGACCCTGCTTCTCCCTCTCCCATTCCTCCTGCTTGTGTTCCCTTTCTTGCTGTGTCTCTCTCTGTCAAATAAATAAATAAAATCTTAAAAAAAAAAGTATGGATATCATTGAGTCACAAAGTGATGCAAAAGAATCAGAATGTAAAGAAGTTTTAGGAATCCCTAGATCCATTTATTTTGCTTATATTTTTATGTGCATAAGTATGATATCTGATATAAATATGCTTAGAGTCTGAAAGCTTTTATAAGTATAAAAGAAATGCTCTCAGTAATTAGAAAGCATTGTGTCATAATTTAATTAGAAGTAGTTTTGCTTTTTTGCTGGTATGTAAAGTAACATTGCATTTTATAATTGAAGGTATCTTAGATTCATTGAAACACAGGTAGCAAGGATTTGATGAATCTAGGAGCCATGAAATATTGGTCCCTACTTTGTTGGAGATCCAAAGACTGGTGCCAAAGAGTATTTTAATATTAAAAGAAAAAAATGAAACACCCAATGATGATAAGTATGTGGTAAAATAGACACTGGTAGAAGTTAACCTTGGGGCACCTGGCTGGTTCAGTCAGTATATAGCATGGGACTCTTTTTTTTTTTAATTAAATATTTCTATTTATTTATTTTGAGACAAAGAGTGAGAGCGAGAGCCAGGAGCCAGAGAGAGAGGGAGAGACACAGGGCTCAATCCCAGGACCCTGGGAGTATGACCTGAGCTGAAGGCAGACGCTTAACTGACTGAGCCACTTGGGCGCCCCTAGCATGTGACCCTTGATCTCAGGATCATGAGGTCAAGCTTTACATTGGGTATAGAGATTACTTAAAAGTAAATCTTAAAGAAAATAAATGAAGAAATTAACCTTTAATAAAAGAATATGACTTGAAAGAATAGAAGGTATGAAAACAAACAGGGGCCTAACAAATTCCAACAAACCATCAAATACTACAGGACCCCTGATGGGGAAAATGTTGCAAATTGGAGCACTCTGGAAACAATGGCAGTGATTAAATTTACAGCAAGTTTTGTTTTTTTTTTTAAGATTTTATTTTATTTATTTGTCAGAGAGAGAGAGCACAAGCAGAGGGAATGGGAGAGGGAGAAGCAGGCTCCCCACTGAGCAAGGAGCCCAATGCGGGCCTCGATCCTGGGATCATGACCTAAGCCAAAGGCAGACGCTCAACCAACTGAGCCACCCAGGCACCCCAAATTTACAGCAGCTTACAGTCAGATGGTATGCAGGTTAGTGAGTCTTATGCCTGCTCCAAACCCACCCTCCTATATGCTGCTTTGTGATGCTCATGCTGAGTTGCTGAAAACCACATTCTCCTTTGCTCACTGGCTCTCTGTGAGGTTCTACCTGTAGGAGGCATGATGAGCCTTCTTCTGGCTGTGGGAGAAAGACGGCAACCAGAGTGAAGAACCATTGTGGGGGGGTTGGGAGGGGATGCAGACAGGAAGGAGGAAGTCTCCTTCGACCTTACGGTTCCCTCTAGTGGGTTCTTTCTCCAGGCTCCTGAGGTATGGCCCAGCTCCTCGAAGTAACACCAGCCTCTCCCCTTCCTTCTCCAGCTCCGATGGCTCATATGCCTTATAAAAATAAGGTGCTGATGTAATTTATGAATTCCTTTAGCCAAACACACCATTTGGGTTTTAGATACTACCCTTGAAGTTGTGTTAGAGAAGTATTAGCTCTCTGAGTGCCTGCCTTTGTAACTTGCACACGTGTTAAGCTTGATTTGAACTAAATGGAATGAAAGAGTGGATTTCATCAGTGGTCCGAGTGCTGGCATAGGAACGTAGCCCACCCTGCCAGCCCGGTGGGGATGAGAGCCGGCCCTGAAGATGGGCATTTGTGGCAGATGCAGCATTAGCATCATCCCCTCGCCCCGTGACTCCATTTGTGGCAGATGCAGCATTAGCATCATCCCCTCGCCCCGTGACT